GAATATAGAACTGAAACACATGGCAGCGTTTTCAAAGACACTGATTGGGTGACGGGCAAATGCAATGCTGAGTGTATCGATCTTGATGTACCCTGCCGAGGGCTGTGCTGTGCTGCACCGTGCTGAATTGCGATGTGCCCTGCCGCGAATGTGCTCTATAGCGTCATGGATCGAGTCCTCCTTTGCATCCGAGTCCTGACCGAACTGATCCGGATTTTAAGCTCGAGCTGCCTGAGCAGATGGTAGCTGCCCCAGAACTACTCGACAGGGGGACATGCCAGGAGGACGCGCCGCGGAACGTCCCAAGGGATGCGCCAGGCGACGTGCCAGGGGACATGCCATGGGGTCGCACCGCGGGACGTGCCAAGGGGACGCGCTACGGAACGTGCCAATGGATGTGCCACGGGATGGGCCAGGGGACGCGCCACGCGACGTGCCAGGGAGACTCGCCCAGGGACGCGCCACGGAACGTGCCAAGGAACGTGCCAAATTGCAATGCTCAGTGTATCGATCTTGATGTACCGTGCCGAAATATGTGCTGTGCTGCGCCGTGCTGAATTGCGATGTGCCCTGCCGCGATTGTACTCTATAGCCTCGTGGATCGAGTCCTCCTTTGCATCCGAGTCCTGACCGAACTGATCTCGATCTTAAGCTCGAGCTGCTTGAACACAGAGTAGCTGCCCCAGGGCTGATTGACAGGGGGACATGCCAGGAAGACGCGCGGCGGAACGTCTCAAGGGACGCGCCAAGCGACGTGCCAAGGGGCGTGCCATGGGGACGCACCGCGGGACGTGCCAAGGGGACGCGCTACGGAACGCGCTGGAGAAAAACGCTTCGCTCGAGACATCCAGTCAAAATCCAAGGAAATCCTGGCAAAACTAACAAATTAGTCGAGACGTCCTCGGAATTCCTGCACGCGGGACGCGGCACGCGCGAGACATCCTCGGAATTCCTCCGAGCGGGACGTGAAAACAAGCATTTTGCCTGAAACATCCTTTGAATTCTGCCCCGCCACGAGGCCCCGCTCGAGAGATCCCCCGATTTTGCAAAACCAGTGTTTCGCTCGAGACATCCTCAAAAAATTATTAAAAAAATTGCAAAACAGCGTTTCGCTCGATACATCCTCAACCAATTATGGAAAAACAAACAAGCATTTCGCTCGAGACATCTTGCCAAAATTCAAGAGAATCATAGACTGGCGCCGGCGGTAAACCGTCAACCTGGTCACCGCCGGGGACCTCGTAGAGCTCTTTTCACGCGCGAGAGTGCTCAGAGTCGAAAGTGAGAGCTTCTGGAGGCATTTATCGAAAAATTGAATATTTATTTTTCCATGTTGACACAAAATTGGTTCCTCCAAGTGTTTTGATAGTAAAAGTGCGCCTACATAGCTCATATTAAGACAGAGAGGCCTTCAAATTCGTTTACAGGTGCGAAAAATCTGCTTCCTCAAAATGAATTGTCAAATATCTTTGAAATATTCGCATTGGTCCACCCAAAAAAAAACAAAAAAAAAAAAAAATTAAAAAGAAGGAAAAAAAAAAAAATGAAAATCAGAAAAAAAATAAAGAAAAAAAAAAAAAAAAAAGTTACCACTTTGTCCTTTCTGGCCGGGTCGGCTAACTAGCTCCACCCCGCGCCGGAATTCCTCTAGCTCATCGACTGGGCGCCGGCGGTAAACCGTCAACCTTTCTTACCGCCGGGGGACTCGTAGAGCTTCCTGACAATATATACTGAAGGAAAAAACTCCAAAGAACGACTATTTTTTAAGCCCAAGCGATTTCAGACCTCTCAAGATAACGCTAACAAAAAACAAACAGTTTCGCAACCCAGTTCGAGTATCAAACCGAGTTCAGACCTCTGAATGCGACAGGCGGGCGCGTCTGATGTCTGCGAATCCACTCATGTGATTCCCAGCCCTGAAGCCCCCCTGCAGCCCGAGTTAAGTGCAAGGGGGCAGGGGGAAGAAGGCCAGAGAGCGCTGAAGGATACAAATACTGGAACCCTCTTGTGATTTTGTGGGGGGCCTCGTCCGGCCGCTCGCTGGGAGTTTGACGCAGCTTCTCGGGAGCCTCTGAACCTGTCGGGGGCCTCCTGGAAGCAGGTTCGAAGCATTTGGGGGGCCGATTTGGGGCTTCTCGGGGCCTCCTTTGGGCCTCTTGGGGGTCTCCTGGGGCCTCTTGAGGGGCCTCCTTGGGGCCTCCTGGCGGCCTCTTGGGGCGGAAGGCTCGAGCTTGCGCTTCGTGGTCCCCCTCTGGGCCCCCTCTTGGGCCCGTTTCGGGGCCCTCTTGGGCCATCTTGGGCACCTCTTGGGCCGCTTTGGGGCTCTCTTGGGCTGTCCTGGGGCCCTCTTGGAAGCTTCTTGGGCCGTCTTGGGGCGGTCTTGGGCGCCTCTTGGGCCGTCCTGTAACGTCGGAAAGCCCAAAAGGCAACTTTGTTGAAAATGTACGTTTTACGAAGGGAATGGGCAATTTTTTGCGTCTAGGGGCCCTCTTGGGACGCATGTTGGAGGCTTCTTGGGGCCTCTTGGGGGCGTCCTTGGACGCCTGGGGTCTCCTGGGGCCTCTTGAGGGGCCTCCTGGGGGCCTCCTGGCGGCCTCTTGGGGCGGAATGCTCGAGCTTGCGGTTCGTGGTCCCCCTCTGGGCCCCCTCTTGGGCCCGTCTTGGGGCCCTCTTGGGCCATCTTGGGCGCCTCTTGGGCCGTCTTGGGGCCCTCTTGGGCTGTCCTGGGGCCCTCTTGGAAGCTTCTTGGGCCGTCTTGGGGCGGTCTTGGGCGCCTCTTGGGTCGTCCTGTAACGTCGGAAAGCCCAAAAGACAACTTTGTTGAAAATGTACGTTTTACGAAGGGAATGGGCCAATTTTTGCGTCTAGGGGCCCTCTTGGGACGCATGTTGGAGGCTTCTTGGAGCCTCTTGGTGGCGTCCTTGGACGTCTGGGGTCTCCTGGGGCCTCTTGAGGGGCCTCCTGGGGGCCTCCTGGCGGCCTCTTGGGGCGGAAGGCTCGAGCTTGCGCTTCGTGGTCCCCCTCTGGGCCCCCTCTTGGGCCCGTCTTGGGGCCCTCTTGGGCCATCTTGGGCGCCTCCTGGGCCGTCTTGGGGCCCTCTTGGGCTGTCCTGGGGCCCTCTTGGAAGCTTCTTGGGCCGTCTTGGGGCGGTCTTGGGCGCCTCTTGGGCCGTCCTGTAACGTCGGAAAGCCCAGAAGAGAACTTTGTTGAAAATGTACGTTTTACGAAGGGAATGGGCCAATTTTTGCGTCTAGGGGCCCTCTTGGGACGCATGTTGGAGGCTTCTTGGGGCCTCTTGGGGGCGTCCTTGGACGTCTGGAGGCCATCTTCAGCATCTCGGAGCCCTCTTGGAGGCCTCTTGAAAGTTTCTTGGGCCGTCTTGGGCGTTCCTGGGGCCGTCTTGTCTGACCGGGGAGGCCTCCGGCAAGCCCCGGCGAGCCTCCAGAGCCCCCGGTCCCCACATTTGCGGTCGTGGTCCCGGCCCCGGGCCCCCAGACCAGGTGCGCCGTTATATGTATTGTAAATGATATTTATGTATATATCATATCTATACATGATACGATGTATGTTGTGTATGTGTGTAATGTCTGTATGTATGGTATGTATGTATTCATGTATGCATGCGTATGTATGTATTATGTATGTATGTATGTATGCAATGCTGCATCCATCAATTGCATGCATGCATGCATGCATGCATGCATGCATGCATGCATGCATGCATGCATGTATGTATGTATGTATGTATGTATGTATGTATGTATAGTATACATATACATATAATCAGAAAAGGGACCGAGGAGAGAAACGCAAGCCAGAGGAGAGGCGGAGTAGAAAGGACGGTCACACGGAAGGGCGCAGGGATCAATCTGTAGGTCTGAGCACTTCAAAACTGGGCTTCTCGTGAGGACTTGCTTGTTGCCGATTTCCTACTGCACTCATGCTCTTCTGGTGCCGCCCATATGCCATGCTAACCTGTCCGCGCGCAGCGAGACACCAGAGGGGGGTCGCGTGTGTCGGCCCAACGGCTCCGTGGCACGGTGAATTGGGATGACATCTTGTGAGAAGTGCACCTCCCCAGGGAACAGAGGGGACCCGACAGGCTCCACCAGCGCTGCGAGCAGCACAACGGCCTCCAGCAGCATTCTCACCAGGAGCAGCACGACGGAACCCAGCAGGACGAATGCCAGCAGCATTACCACGAGCGGCACGACGGGCGCTGCACTGCGCCTGCCACGGGCGCAGTGGATGCCTCAGACATTTGCGACGTGGATTCCTGATGCGCACCCCTCCTACGTCCTCTCCTCTATCTCGCCCTGACCTGGGGCCATTTGGCCTACGAGCCCACCAGGACGGTGGCCGCCATGCGAACGCAGCCACTGGGGGCCTTCGGTGGAGCTCCCTATGGGGCCACGATCCTGGAGGGGGGTGTGCCGAAATGGCCCGAGGCCGCCATGCGAACGCAGCCACTGGGGCATTCGGTGGAGCTCCCGTAAAGGGGCCAACGATCCTCGTGGGGTGTGCCGAAATGGGCCCGGGGCGCCATTGCGAACGCAGCCAATGGGGGCCTTCGGTGGACTCTCTATGGGGCCACGAAACGCTGTACTGGGTGGGTGAAACGCATGGAAGAAGGGGAGGGAGGGGAGGAGGGGGAAGAGGAGGAGAGGAGGGGAGACGCGGGCCACCGTCTCTTCAAAACGAGGACCCAACACCACAGGATGGTTGGGAAAAACAGGGCCGCGATCATAGCGTGAATTGCGATTGATTCGTGCTGTGCTGCACTGTGCTGCGCCATGCTGTGGAACTTTGCTGTTCTCTGTTAAGTCGTGGATCAAGCCATGCTTGGCACCCCAAGCCTGTCCGAACCGATCTGGATCTTGAGCTCAAGCTGCAAACTGTGGGACCTCGACCAGCAAGTGTCTGCCGACCTTGAGGAGATCAAAACGCTCCCCGTGCATATTTATCAGGTGGGGATCCCCGACTGCAGCTGAGATCGGTGCCGACGTCGGCGCGGGCGTCGGTGCTGGCGTTGGCGAAGCCGATGGTGCGGCCGTCGGCGCTGGCGAAGGCACCGGCGTAGGTGCCGGCGTTGGCGAAGACGCGAAGACGCGAACGTGACCAGAATCCAACCCAGCACCGTCGTTGAAGAAAGCTCCAATGGCCACGCGGCTGCCGTCGCTGCTCAGCGACACCGAAACGCCACTCCGATCGCCTGAGGCTTCGCCATCGATGTCCTGCCCCAACAGGCTCCAAGTGTTGCCCGACAGCCCGAAGACGCGAACGTGACCAGAATCAAACCCAGTAGCACCGTCGTTTCTGGTCGCTCCAATGGCCACGCGGCTGCCCTCGCTGCTCAGCGACACCGAAACGCCACTGACATCGCCTGAGGCTTCGCCATCGATGTCCTGCCCCAACTGGCTCCAAGTGTTGCCCGAGAGCCCGAAGACGCGAACGTGACCAGAATTTGACCCAGTAGCACCGTCATTTAGCTGCGCTGCAATGGCCACGCGGCTGCCGTCGCTGCTCAGCGACACCGAACGGCCACTGACATCGCCTGAGGCTTCGCCATCGATGTCCTGCCCCAACTGGCTCCAAGTGTTGCCCGAGAGCCCGAAGACGCGAACGTGACCAGAATTCGACCCAGTAGCACCGTCATTTTGCTGCGCTGCAATGGCCACGCGGCTGCCGTCGCTGCTCAGCGACACCGCCAGGCCACTCCGATCGCCTGAGGCTTCGCCATCGATGTCCTGCCCCAACTGGCTCCAAGTGTTGCCCGAGAGCCCGAAGACGCGAACGTGACCAGAATTCGACCCAGCACCGTCGTTGAATATCGCTCCAATGGCCACGCGGCTGCCGTCGCTGCTCAGCGACACCGAAAAGCCACTGTTATCGTCGAAGGCTTCGCCATCGATGTCCTGCCCCAACTGGCTCCAAGTGTTGCCCGACAGCCCGAAGACGCGAACGTGACCAAAATTCAACCCAGCACCGTCGTTGGTGGCAGCTCCAATGGCCACGCGGCTGCCGTCGCTGCTCAGCGACACCACGCCACTGTAATCGCCTGAGGCTTCGCCATCGATGTCCTGCCCCAACTGGCTCCAAGTGTTGCCCGAGAGCACGAAGACGCGAACGTGACCAGAATCAAGCTCAGTAGCACCGTCGTTGTAGCGAGCTCCAATGGCCACGCGGCTGCCGTCGCTGCTCAGCGACACCACCTCGCCACTCCGATCGCCTGAGGCTTCGCCATCGATGTCCTGCCCCACCTGGTTCCAAAAGGCTCCCTTCACCATGTGGTCAGCCGCCTCGACTTGGCGTCGTCCTGTCTGCTGGCTGGTGTTCACGGGGAGCACTGTGGAGGTCACTGTAGACACGCCCTTCAGCGAACTGACGCGGGCGAGGTCGAAGCTCGCGGCGTCCGTGCCGAGCTGAAGGAGCACGGTGTCCTCCTGAAGGTCGACCTCCGCCGCTGCGGTCGTACCGAAGACGCCGTGGGCGAGGAGAGGGATCAGCAAGCACGCTCGGGCAGGCGCCTTCTGGGTCATCGTGGCGTGCACGTCACAAAGGCGAACTCGATGGAAAGGAGGGTACGGTGAGGCACGTACGCTGGCGTTTCTCGCTTGAGCCAGATGGCGCCAAAATGCTACGGACACACATGCACATTCACACACGCACACACGCAGACACACACACACAACACAACACAACACAACACAACACAACACAACACAACACAACACAACACAACACAACACAACACAACACAACACAACACAACACAACACAACACAACACAACACCACAACACACACAGACACAAACACACACACACACACACACACACAGACACACACACACACACACGCACAGGTACACGCCCATCTACACTTACACTTACACGTACACTTACACTTACACTTACACTTACACATACACTTCGATTATACTCTCACACAGACACAGCCCAGGGTTCCAGAAGTCCAAGAAGCCGACGCCGTTGCCAGACACCCAAGCGTTGCACTTGTGAAACATGATCGACCCACGGACCCGGAAAGGAATGTAGAAATGATGTAAAGCATGGCAAGGTTTCAAAGACACTTGGTTGGGCGACGGGCAACTGCAATGCTGAGTGTATCTATCGTGATGTACCCTGCCGACGGCTGTGCTGTGCTGCACCGTGCTGAATTGCGATGTGTCATGCCGCGATTGTGCTCTATAGCATCGTGGGTCGAGTCCTCCTTTGCATCCGAGTCCTGACCGAACTGATCTCGATCTTAATCTCGAGCTGCCTGAACACATAGTAACTGCCCCAGGGCTGATTGACAGGGGGACATGGCAGGAGGACGCGCCGCGAAACGTCCCAAGTGACGCGCCAGGCGACGTGCTAGGGGACGTGCCATGGGGTCGCACCGCGGGACGTGCCAAGGGGACGCGCTACGGAACGTGCCAATGGACGTGCCACGGGATGTGCCAGGGGACGCGCCACGCGACGTGCCAGGGGGACTTGCCAAGGGACGCCCCCCGGAACGTGCCAAGAAACGCGCCAGGTTGCAATGCTAAGTGTATCGATCTTGATGTACCGTGCCGAAGTCTGTGCTGTGCTGCGTCATGCTGAATTGAAATGTGCCATGCCGCGATTGTGCTCTATAGCGTTGTGGATCGAGTCCTCCTTTGCATCCGAGTCCTGACCGAACTGATCTGGATGTTAAGCTCGAGCTGCCTGAACACATAGTAGCTGCCCCAGAGCTAATTGACAAGGGGGACATGCCAGGAGGACGCGCCGCGGAACGTCTCAAGGGACGCGCCAAGCGACGTGCCAAGGGGCGTGCCATGGGGACGCACCGCGGGACGTGCCAAGGGGACGCGCTACGGAACGTGCTGGGGACAAGCGTTTCGCTCGAGAAGTTCTGTCAAGACCCTCATGCTAGACATCCATCTGAGCGACCTGGACACGTGAAAACAAGCGTTTCGCTCAACACATCCTCAACACATTCTCATGCTAGACATCAGCCTGGGCGAACAGGACACGCGAAAACAAGTGGTTCGCTCGAGACATCCTCTACACATCTTCATGCGAGACGTCCGCCTGGGTGACCTGGGCACGTGAAAACAAGCGTGTCGCTCGAGACGTCTTCAACACCTCCTCATTCTAGACATCCGCCTGGGCGACCTGTACACGTGAGGCAAACGTCTCGCTCGAGACATCCTCAACACATCTTCATGTTAGACATCCGCCTGGGCGACCTGGACACGTGAAAACAAGCGCATCGTTCGAGACACTTTCAACAAATCCTCATGCTAGACATCTCTCTGGGCAACCTGGACACGTGCAAACAAGCATCTCGATCGAGACTTCCTCAACATATCCTCATGCTAAAAAGCCGCCTGGGCGACGAGGACGCGTGAAACCAAGCGTCTCGCCCGAGACATCCTCAACAAATCCTGGCGCTACACCTCTGCCTGGGCAACCTGGAGGCGTGAAACCAAGCGTCTCGCTCGAGACATCCTCAAGACCTGGGCACGTGAAAACAAGCATTTCACTTGAGAGATCCTTGGATTCTGGCCCCCAGGAGAGGACAATCTATAACACAAAACAAGCGTTTCGCTCGAGACATCCTCAACAAATTCTGAACATGATCGGCCCACGAACCCGGAAAAAAACATGATCGACCCACGAACCCGGAAAGGAATATAGAACTGAAACACATGGCAGCGTTTTCAAAGACACCTGATTGGGTGACGGGCAAATGCAATGCTGAGTGTATCGATCTTGATGTACCCTGCCGAGGGCTGTGCTGTGCTGCACCGTGCTGAATTGCGATGTGCCCTGCCGCGATTGTGCTCTATAGCGTCATGGATCGAGTCCTCCTTTGCATCCGAGTCCTGACCGAACTGATCTGGATTTTAAGCTCGAGCTGCCTGAGCAGATGGTAGCTGCCCCAGAACTAATCGACAGGGGGACATGCCAGGAGGACGCGCCGCGGAACGTCCCAAGGGATGCGCCAGGCGACGTGCCAGGGGACATGCCATGGGGTCGCACCGCGGGACGTGCCAAGGGGACGCGCTACGGAACGTGCCAATGGATGTGCCACGGGATGTGCCAGGGGACGCGCCACGCGACGTGCCAGGGAGACTCGCCAAGGGACGCGCCACGGAACGTGCCAAGGAACGTGCCAAATTGCAATGCTGAGTGTATCGATCTTGATGTACCGTGCCGAAATATGTGCTGTGCTGCGCCGTGCTGAATTGCGATGTGCCCTGCCGCGATTGTGCTCTATAGCCTCGTGGATCGAGTCCTCCTTTGCATCCGAGTCCTGACCGAACTGATCTCGATCTTAAGCTCGAGCTGCTTGAACACAGAGTAGCTGCCCCAGGGCTGATTGACAGGGGGACATGCCAGGAGGACGCGCGGCGGAACGTCTCAAGGGACGCGCCAAGCGACGTGCCAAGGGGCGTGCCATGGGGACGCACCGCGGGACGTGCCAAGGGGACGCGCTACGGAACGCGCTGGGGAAAAACGCTTCGCTCGAGACATCCAGTCAAAATCCAAGGAAATCCTAGCAAAACAAACAAATTAGTCGAGACATCCTCGGAATTCCTGCACGCGGGACGCGGCACGCGCGAGACATTCTCGGAATTCCTCCGAGCGGGACGTGAAAACAAGCATTTTGCCTGAAACATCCTTTGAATTCTGCCCCCCCACGAGGCCCCGCTCGAGACATCCCCCGATTTTGCAAAACCAGTGTTTCGCTCGAGACATCCTCAACAAATTATTTAAAAAATTGCAAAACAGCGTTTCGCTCGAAACATCCTCAACCAATTATGAAAAAACAAACAAGCATTTCGCTCGAGACATCTTGCCAAAATTCAAGGGAATCATAGAAAAACAAACGAAGTAGTCGAGACATCCTCGAAATTCCTGCGCGCGGGACGCGGCACGCGCGAGACATCCTCGGAAATTCCTGCGCGCGGGGCGCTTTTCCGCGTCGCGGTCGGCTCTGCAAAACCAGCGTTTCGCTCGAGAAATCCTCAACAAATTCTGAAAACAATCGTTTCGCTCGAGACATCGTGCCGGAAGCGTTTGGGAGCGCCTGGGAGCCCTTGCCTGGGAGCGCTTCGGGGCGCCTGGGAGCTTCGAGATCGCTTGGGAGCGCCTGGGAGCGTGCCGGGAGCGCCTGCGAGCGCCGCGGAGCGTGCCGGCGTGCCTTTCCGGAGCCGCTTCCGTTCGCCCCGAGAGGGCCCCGGAGCGCCTGGGAGCGCCTGGGAGCGCCTGGGAGCGCTTGGGAGCGCCTGGGAGCGCCCGGGAGCGCCTGGGAGCGCTCTGGAGCGGGTCGTGACCGGGGGCGCATCCGCCCGTCGAAATGTTTACGACAGTAGCGAAGTCAATTGGGGTGCGCTATCGCCGAGAGCGCTTCCGCGCGTGCCCGCTCGAAGATCGCGCTCCCGCTTGGGAGCCCCTGGCGCCTGGAAGCGTGCCAGGAGCGTGCCGGGAGCGTGCCGGGAGTGCCTGGGAGCGCCCGGGAGCGCCTGGGAGCGTGCCGGGGGCGCCTGGGAGCGTGCCGGGAACGCCTGGGCGCGCTTGGGAGCACGTGGATGCGTCTGGGAGCGCCCGGGAGCGCATGAGAACGCGCCGGGAGCGCCTGGGAGCGCCCAGGGGCGCTGGGAGCGCCTGGGAGCGCGGCTGGGAGCGCCTGGGATCGCCAGGGAGCGCCTGGGAGCGCATGGGCGTGCTCCGGAACGCGCCGGGAGCGCCTGGGAGCGCTGGGGAACGCCTGGGAGCGCCTGAGAGCGCCTGCGAGGGCCTGGGAGCGCCTGGGAGCGCCAGGGAACGCCTGGGAGCGCTTGGAACGCATTTGGGAATTTAGGGGCCAACGGCCCTAAACCCTAAAAGGCTTTAGTTTGGGAGGTTGCCGGCCATGCGGCCGGGGGTGGAGGAGGAGAGGAGAGGGAGGGAAAGGAGAGCGAGGAGAACGACATGCAAGCGGATGAAGAGCAACCCGCAATAGCATCAACAGGAAAAACGATTGACGACGTCAATGAAACTGAGGGGGTGGTGATCTGAGAAAACGACCATTAATGTACTACGGGAATCAGAAACAATGCAAGGGGCGAGCGGCCTGAAATGTGAATCCCTGTCAAAATTACAATCCTTCGTGAGAGCCAGCGAAGGGCAAGCTGATGCAATACAATGAAACATGAAGACAACATCTGTTATTCAAGCGGCTTACGCCATTCAGCCGACTCTCAGAAAGCGATAAGAGTTGCGACGATCGTTGAAGTCATCGAGTGGCCTTCGGCCCAACTCGCTTGCGCGCCTGGGCTTTGGGTCAAGATTGTTTGAATGAATCTGAGGGTATCATGGGATGCTTCTCGCGGTCCTCTTGTGGAGCTATAGATGACATCTGGGAGTTTTGTAGTTGAACCTCTTAGGGGGGGTTCTTGCGTGCGTCTTGGCGGTCTCTTGGGCCTCTTGGGGGCGCCTCAAGATTGTCTGCAGGGGTCTTGGTGCCATATGAGGAGGAAGCGCCCGAAATCTAAGTTCGCATTCCCCTTCGGGGTCTCCTGGCGCCATGGTGGAGCTCTGTTGGGTTATCGCGTTGGCCCCGAGGCCGTGTCAGGGCTCTCTTGGGCCGGCTGGGGTTTTAAGACCGTCTTGGGAACCCTCTGGGCCGTCTTGAGACGAGCTTGAAGTCCCCCTGGGCCGTGCCAGAAGAA